CATGCATGAATCTAAACTAAACATGGGAAACAATTATTTTCACTTGAGCTTATTTTTGGAACATTTCAAATTTCACATTTCATAAAACTTAGCTTTTCATAGACAAGTTTTGCCACCACTAGAATTCTCTCAATTTATCAATTCATGCATGTGTCCTTAAAAAAATGCATAAGCAATATGATAAAATTAATCTCAAAAAACTTTAAACTAAAATAACAAAGATTAACTGCCCAAAATCATAATTTATGAGGAAAATCATATCGATAATAGTAAGATTAATCATTCAAATTCATTTCTTGTAAAAGAAATAATAATTAAGCAATAGTCTCCATCCCTTCTCTCTCTTTTTCAATACTCCTTTATGTAGGTTTAGAACAAAACAATGGACTTTATATAACTAGTAAGAAAAGATAAGCTTGACCTCTCCATACCTTATCCTGAAGGAAGCTATAATTGGTTTAAAATTCATTCCCACTATGAAATATCATTTATTCTTAAAATCTATTGCTATATGTGTGATTGTCTTTATCTTATTTCCCAGGCCATGAATTAAAGCATGCATCCTTCTCATATTCCATGCCCCATTATGATACCATAAACTCCTTCCAATTTGCAAAATTCTGGCAAATTGAATACGTGGATGTTATTGTATCATCACCATCATATATACAAACATATATATATTTATATAAGTACAATTTTAAAAAATAAGTTGATAGCTGTCTAATATTATTATGAATGCTGTATATTCCTTAAGATGGTAATTGAATAATTAGATTGTACAAAACTTAAATAATTTTAAATATGATTTATTTTGGATGCAAAATATTTTGTATTTACGTTGTGTTAAATTATTTTTTATATATTTATTTTAACATGAAATCAGTTTTTATTTCAAAAAAATTAACATGTAAATGGATTACATAAAAACTTTTCATGACTATATCAATTTCGTAAAATTGAATTTAGAATTGAATCCAACATTTTAACTCAAGCTCTCATTTTCAACAAATTTTGCGTTGCGTGGCCAGACAAAAGAATCTATGGCGGGCCCTCCGAAAACTTAAGGGCAGACAGTGATTAGGCCTTAGGGACGGATAGGATGAGAGGGGCGTTCCTGTCATTCTACGTCATCATTCCCAACTGGACGGTGGGCCCAGGGGACAAGTTTATCCACGTGGCAAGATATTCTTAGGGTGGTCGTTAGTCAGTAGGTGATGGCTCAAAACTTGAAACGCGTGTCTGTGTAAGCGTGAAAATAGGGAGGTAGAAAGCGGGCCATGGGACCCCACTTGAATTACCTGTCGACCGTTAAAAAGGCCTAACTCTCTCCCTGCAATCTGACCTCATCACCTTTTGCGGGCTAACCCTACCAAACTTCCCTGCTAACTGGCGGTCGTGGGTAACGGTGTTCATTCACGATTAATTTTGAATTAAATTATTTTATTTTAATTTTATTAATCAAATTAAATATGTTAATTTTAAAAATTAATTGATTAAATTAAATTTGATCAGTTAAGTTAATTTTTTTAATTAATTGAATAATGAATATATTTAAATTAAATTAAATTTTAATTTTTTATATTTAAAACAAATTAAATAAAACTATTTAATAAAATATTTAAATATCAAAATATTTAATTAAAAACTAATAATTTTTAAAATAAAATAATTTATTTCATATATTTTTAGATTTATTTCGATTTATTTAATTAAATTGATTCCATCATTAATCTAATTAAAATTAAAATTTAAAAATCTTCAATCACGAGACTCATTCGTAGAAAATGACATAATTGACCTTAAGGAATATTACTGTTTTAGTATTTTTTTAACATAAAATAAAAATTAAGGTATGCGATCATTTCTTAAATTTACTAGTGTTGCAGAACAAATTTTTTATCTTTTTTTTTTTTTCCTTATTTTGATTAAAGAGTAAAATTATCATTTTATAATATTGAAAATGGTAAAATGATCATTTCATAAAGCTAGATGGGTGTCACACTCTAAATCTCTTTGAGAATCTTTTAATAGAGAATTGTAGATTTGTAAAGTATAAAATTTTTATCCATCATTTATGAATTTTTTTTTTTAAATTACCTCCCCTCAATTGATTGTATATATAAAGATAAGTCATTGATAAAATTGAATTGGAGCTTAGATTAATTAATTTATGTAATTACTTTTAAGAGTGATATCCAATAAGTTTAAGATTGAAATCTTAATATCTTAATTCTTTTTTTTTCTCAAATTATGATATAAGTTTATAAAAAAATCATTGATAAAATTTGAAATTCTTGATCATTTGCATTGAGATGAAAAGCCTTACTAATTGAATCAAATTTGTTGTTAATGAAACATTTAATCATTTTAATTTAATAAAATATTTGGAATGTCTATTATAGATGCCTTTAAACTATACATTTTAGTTATAATGTGATTTGCTTAAAAATAGATTATGCTTTTATTTTTTGGTGATAATAGTATTATAAAGGAGCAATGTTCAACATTTTATAAAAGTGGGAAAAGCACCCAACTCATAGATTTTCATAGCTACCACTTGACAAATTTTAATTATTTGATTTCTATCATTCTACAAACTATAGATGATGCAACATTTAGTTTTAAACTCAAATTTTGAATTTTAAAACAATTTGTATATCCACCATGAAATCAACCACTAAAGAACACAAAATACAAAAGCATTTATATACATGAATTTATATGAAGTCCTTTTTTTTCGTTCATTTTTTTAATAGTGAAAAATAGTAATATAATTTAAATATTAGATTTTTTATTTAATAAATTTTGATTATTGAAAGAAAATTCTTTTGATTAATCAATTAATGACAAAATCGCATTGATAATCTCTACCTTCGTCCGAGTCTATCTTAAGAATTGAACACTCTATCGACAAATTATTTCTATCGGCAAATGTTGGAATTTTTATTTGAACTTAAACATCCAATACTTCAATTAAAATCAAGTAATATGCAATCATTTTAATTTCAATCAAAATTAATCTCTTTTATTAACTTTTTTCTCATACTATTTCAACTTTAATCATTATTTTTAATAAATTTAAAAAAATTAAATAAGCTTTAAAATAAGATTTGCATATTATGAGTTTTAAATTGTTCAAAATATTTTTAAAAATTTTAATTTAATAATAATATTTTCTAAAATAAAAATAAAAATTGAGTTGCTCTAATAAAAAAAATCAATAAAACAATTATTTTTAATATTATTTTTGAAAGAAGTCAATTAAAGGTGTCAATATGCATTAAAAAAAAAAATCAAAGTTGTGCTGAATTTGGTGTATCATTTTTTATTTTTTCTTGTAGTTTAAGTAGTTTTGAAAGTAGCACTTTTCTTGGTTGGTCACTTGGTGCAGATAGTTATATAAATATAAATATATTTTTATGTATCCGACAAAAATCACTGCACTTCCTTATAGTTAAGGATCATGTCGTGTAGGACTCAAATTGTTTTTGTTTGCATGGGAAGGGTTTGGGACATTGTGTCATGTGCCTTAAACTAAAACTCCACGTGCTTCTTTAAATTAATTTTTTTAAAAAAATAAAATTCGATAACAGAAGCATATTCTTACGTAATTAAAAAAAATTGCTAACCCCAGAAACGGAATGCATGCATCAGGAAATGAATGAACCGGATAAAGTGAATGATTTTATGAATCAATTGAAAAATTAAATAGAAAAAAAAAAGTTCATTTTTCACATGAATTTTGCTTTTTGTATGTCATTTTGGTTTTCTTCCTTTCCCTTTTTTTTTTTTCAATTACAATTTGATCATCGTTTACATTGTGTAATTCATGATTTAATCTTAAACATATAAATGGTGATGATGGTGATAATAATGATGATAAATATATTGAAAAATGAATAATAAAATAATAATTAATGAAAATCTAACCTTTTTTTTTTTGGCAAGCCTTAAGAAACTGAATCTCAATCTTATAAGAATTTATCTCCTTAAAAAGTAAATGAATCATTTGAATTTAGTTTCATATTAGTTTACCTTTTTCTTTGTACATGAATAAAAAAATAATTATGTGTTATCCTTTTTTTTTAATTTCTTTTAAAAGATTTAAATTTTATGCTTTAATTCACTAATAAAAATAAATAAATAATCAAAGTAGTAAGAAGAAAATTTTTTTTCTTTGCTTTAAGAGTTTTATAATTTCATATATATATAATTCGATTACACCATGCCAGATAAATTTGAAATTTAGGCTTGGGTTTGTGAATAGAGACAGTTCAATATGGAGGATAAAAAAAAAAAAAAAGAGAGAGATTTCCCCACATATTTCTGCTTATTTAATGTAATTTTTTATTCCCATTATTTTATCATCTACCTGCATCTTGAATACTACTATAATAGTAAAATATACAACAAATCTCAATTATTCATTAAACAATTTTTTTTTTCAAATGAGAAAAATATTGCCAGCAAATGCAGAGTCAAATCCAATTTCCATTGTCAAAATGTTGACATTTTGGGAGAGTTGATAAGATTTGAGTAACTTTGGCCAAAAAAAAAAAAAAAAAACAAGATGTGAGCAACATTTGGTAAATGAGAACTAATTTTCTTTTCATTAAACATACATATATAATGATAATAGTATTTAGCATAGTCCATACAGTGTGGAAATAGTAAGAATTCACCTTTTAAATTTTGGTGTAAATAAATCTGCTTCGATTGATTGAAAGAAAGATATATCAGACAAAATCTAAAAAAAATTTATCCTTTGATTAAAAAATGTGGTTTATTAATAAAATATTAGTAATCTAAATTCAAGATAGCCTTTATTGTATAAAAAAAAAATGGTCGAATTCTATTGGAAACCCCACAAGGTGATATTGAAAATCCAGATTTGAGGAATTAAAAATGATGAGAATGTAACTCATGCTCCCAATGATGTAAGCACTAACATCCAGCAGGCTCAATTGCAAATTTTTAAAGAGAAAGAACAAACCAAATATCAGATGCTACCAACTCAATCTCATATCAGACAAATTCTGTATCTAAGCAATTTGACAATAATGATGCCAACATAACAGCAACCCAGGAAAAAAAAGATAGTATAAGAAAGAGAGATTGAAGTTTTTCTTATATGATAATTTAATTATAAATGTATAATACATAATTTTATGCTTCATTTCTTTCAAAGTTTTCATTTAGACTTCAACAAAAGCTATACATAGACTCACATCATCTTTTCCAGACAATAATAGTAGCTGAAGGTCTAATCTTCTAAAGTTGTAGCTTTTTTCTTTTTTTTAATAACTTCTTCATTCTTCAAATGTTGCTGTTTCTGATTTCAGTAATGCCAATAACAATCAAGGTCCACTGGTGCAGCTGAAGTACAAGGGCCTCCTTGATCATCAAATGCCCTCTTTCCAATTTCCAGATTTGATACGACTGAAGAGATTTCAGTGTTTATATCAGTGGTTAAACCTGTTTCTTGTGAAACACTAACCATCTCCTTCTCTGTTTTGAAATCCTGCCTCATATTTGATACACGGTTTTCAATCAAGGCCCTCAGGATTGATTGGTCTTGCATTAGAACAGATCCAGGGAATTGAAAATTGGATGGGACAGGGACAGGGACAGGGACAGGTTGAGCACAATAGAAAGAGTTTGAAAGCGGGATTCGTGGGAAAATGTCGGTAGAATTAGACGAAACAGGAAGAAGAGGATTGTTGAAAGTATCAATTGTGTCTTGTTGGTTTCGTTGGAGATCAATAGGATTGGAGAAGCAGGGCACGTAAGCCGATTCGGCAACAGGTTTGCTCTTGCCATCGTATGGAGAAGATTCCATTAATGGTGGTAGATCAGCAGGACCCAACTCATTACCAAAGGAACCCACCCTAATCAGACCTGAAATATGGGTTTTCTTCCCACCGGAATTCTTTTGGAATACCCTGCTAATCACCCATTCATTCTACAAAATAAAAACAAAATGATCCATTAAAACAGAGCAAAAGACAGAATGGAAAAACAGGGAAAAGCAGAGGAAAACAGAGAAAAGTGTATATTACCTTGGCAGTTTTAGGGAGGTTGTGGACTGAATATTTGCCTTCCAATCTGTATTCATGCATGACCCAGTTGGTTTTCTCTCCCTTAGGAGCTCTACCCTTGTAGAAAACCAGAGTTTTCTTCATTCCAACCAATGATTTTCCTCTGTAAATCTCCTTATCTTTCCCTGTGGCTTTCCAGTAGCCAGAATCAGTAGCCCTATTTGTCCTCAGACCAGTAGGGTATTTTCTGTCTCTAACACAGAAAAAGTACCATTCTTTCTCTCCCATTTTCGCTTTCCCTATATCCAACAAACCAAACAAACATTAGAAAGTTTTGAAACAGAATCCTGAAACAAACACATCCAGGAACATCTAATAAAAAGAGAAAAAAATGAATGAAAGTTCTTACAATGCAATTCCCAGGGCTCAGACTTGTTCAAATCCACCTCTCCAATAGCTCTAGCGCTGAAGTTGATGTCGAGAACTTTCTTGTACAAGTAGTGAGAAATAAGCTCTTCATCAGTTGGGTGAAACCTGAAACCTGGTGGCAAATCCATCTGATCATCTTCCTCACTAACTACGGCAATGGTTGCCATTCCTGGAAAAACCTAAAACCTTCTGTTTCACAATCTTGGTTTGGTTCCAATCAGCAAGCTACAGCCTACAAATACTCCCCAAAATTCAGCTTCAGATCCCAACAAAACACAGCCTTATAACATCTTCTGACCAAACAGCTAAAGATATTATTGTCCAAAGCGCCAAACAGACAGAAAACAAAAACAAATAAAGAACTGAATAGATTCAAAGAAAAGTGGTGCAGCAAAGAGATAAGAAAAAGCTTATATAAAGCCAAGGGAAGTTAGGAAAAAAAAAATAAAGTTACGGATTGAGAGAAAAAGGGAGAAGCCATGGAACTAAAAAGCAGTAAACCTGAAAGATGGAGAAGTGTTCAGATAAAAAAGAAGCATAAGAAACAAAAGCCCCCTAAATACTGGTGTGTGAAGAGAAATAAACGTGGTATGGAAGGCAACTTGGACCTTGGTAGTTTGTTTTAGCCACCCTCCTTCCCCATCCCTTCCCTCTAAATAAACTTTTGTATATTTAATAATACTTTTAATAATAATGATAACTCTATTCCATCCCCCTAAATTTTTGACTAGAGACAGCTAATCTAAAAATTCATGCATGTAATTTAGATTATAAATAAATATTTTATTTGGATATAAAAGTTATTGTAGTACAAAGATTAAAAAAAAAATTAGGGGCAAATAATTTATCAATTCGATTGGTTTGATTTAAAAAAATTTAAAATAAATTTAATGTCATACACTTTTTAAAAAAATAATTGAACCGATCGATTTATTTTTAATAATTGAAAATAATTTAATTGATTTATTTTCACTCTTAAAAAAGGTTATAATTATTGAAATTTAAATTTTAAATTAAATGAGTATCATTTTTTTAAATGAGTGAATGAATCAATTGAATTAATTTATGAATTTAAATAAGTATCTTATTAATTATATCATATGAATAAAAAAAGCAAGGATTTAAACTTAAAAAAAAGGGTAAAACCAGTTACATCTAGCTTGAATTCTTTAATGTTAATTACTATAGACTATAATTTATCAAATAAATTGTGAATTTGCTACAATTAAAACTATGCAAATCACATTTACCAAATCTTTAATGTTATAGAATAATCCAGAAGATTTGGGTCCAATAAGGTTAGGGTGTTGATTTTATTGGTTGCTTCATCTGCACACAAGAAATAGCCAACATGTATTATTATAACAGATTCAAAGAGTGAGAAAAGCTTAGAATATTAACCTATTTTTAAATGTGAAAAATAAACTTTCTCAAAAACAAATCTTTTTTTATCAATAAGTAATTAGTTCAATTGATTAAAATTTATTTTTTTAATAAAAAGATCTTAAATTCGAGTTTTTTCGATGATTATTTATTGAAGTCATTTTGAATGTATGATTTATAATTACTTATTTTAGATTATCAAATATAATACATCTTACTTTAATCTAAAAATTGAATAAATTTTTTTTATCAAAAAAAAAAATCTCTTTTATTCTGATTGGTGATAACAGCTGTGTGAATCCATGGAATATTACAGAAAAACTGAAAATTCCAGCTTCAGAAAATTAGATAAGGTTTTTTATTCAACTCAAAATGACCCATTTGACCCCATATTGTTTATAGGAAAAACAAAAACATGAAAAATTATTTTAAAAAAAAGGCAAAATGGGTCGAAACTGACGTTGCATAGATTTTTCATGCTATTAGCCCAAAAAAAAAAAAAAAAAAAAACTGACACTTTGCAACATTAAACCAATATCAGGCAAGAAAGTGGTCCTTTTTTAAGTTGAATTAAAACCATCAGAAAGAGACAAATTATGGAAAAATCACCTGGGACCTCTCCCTAAAGCTTCTAAAACTTTTTTGTGACAAAGTTGAGCACTGTTTCATAACAATTTATTTGAAAGTTTTATCATGTACAGAAAAAAAAAAAAAAAAGAATAAGCTACAAGGACATATATACTTTTTTTATATAAAAAATATCATAATTTAAGATAAAAAAATTTAAATTTTAAATAACAATTAAATGAACTTCGGATTTCACGAGAACATATGCAATTAATCTCTCCCCTTGCTTATTTCATTTAACCCTATACATCATTTCCGAGGGACCTCACCATTAACGTTTTAAAATGTAGCCTTTCTTGCTGGTATGATGTAAAGGGGATGAAGTTCTTACTGAGTAAGAGCTAATTTAAGTTTTTTAGGTGAGAAAGAACTCCAAGCATTGGATAATTTTTGGGAATGAGCTTCCCAAGCTAATTTCTCTAATCTTGATAGATATATATAACAGGGGTTTTAAAGGTTATTATGTTTAATTTAAAGCCTTATATCCAATAATTTGCTCATTTTTTTATTAAGTTAAATTTTGTGGTGTGATATTTGACACCCACACACATTTAGAACCTTTTTTGAGCACTAGAAACTTGAAGGTGTATAAATACCAAATGCTATAACTTTCTCTAAAGTTTAATGTTATCCCACCAAAGATTTTGCCCACTAAATCACATAAGGTATATATATATATATATATATATATATATATGAATCGATCAACTTTCAATTTAGCGGTAGGTATGTTAATGGGCAGAGTCCGAAGTGGATAAAGTTTTTTTCATTGTCAATCTCAATTTATTGTATTATACTCATTTTCGTAATCATTCACATCCCATCTATATGAATATTTAATGAATATAAGAATTTACGTATTTATAATTTTAAAAAAATAAAAATTATTGTTTTAATTTTTTATTTTTATCTTATACATTTATATAATTTTTAATAAATATATATTTTAAAATATAAATATATTAATTTTAATCAATTTAAAATAAAATTTTTATTATTAAATAAAAAATCAATTTAATATATATAGGTCCAAGACAGAAGCCATATTACCTTCTTCGTATTGATACCCAATAAAAAATTTAAAATTATATCTATTCATATACTTATATCTAAAATTTAATATTTATCTCCATCATATTAGAATAAAAATTTGAATTTACCTTTAAATATGGATAAAATTAATATTCATACTTAATCCTGCTGGAATCAACTCCAAAACTTAAAGTTTCAAGTCAGAACCACAATTGTAGTACAAAAGATAATATATATATGTATATATATATATATATATATATGCACACGTATGTACAAGAGAATTTTGGGGAGAGTAGGAATTCAATCCTTTGACCTAAATTTCATGTGTTTTCCAATTTTTAACCCCAAAACAAACAGCCCACAGATTAGCCAAAACTTGAATCCGCCAAAATTCCACTAATTAGTGCAGCACAGTCTGAAAGGCAATTTGACTTTACAGCAAGAAGAAGAAAAAAAAGAAAAATAAAGGGCAAAAAAGACTGATGATAATTTGTTTCAGTGGCGTGGGGAGTACTTTTTTTTTTGTATATTGAGATTTTAATTTTAAATTTTATTATGTATCAAATTAATTTGATTTTAAGTTAAATTTATTTGATTATATATTTATTTTATTAATTTATTAATTAATTTTATTTTTATTTAATACTTAAGAGACCATTTTTACATTAAAATTTATCAAATATCAAATGTATAAAAATAAAAAATTACTGTTATTTACACTAAAATCAAAATTTTTTCTTAAATTCTGTCAAAATCAATAGTTGAATAATATGGGATGGAAAAAGTATTAAAGTAGTGTCTAATTATCTAATAATTCGACTACCAAAAAATAAAAGCTCATAGTATTTTTATTTACGACCTCTATATATATATATATATATTAAAAAAATTTAAGATAAATAGATTATTTAGTTTTTAGATTAAGATAAGATTTGTTATATTTAATAATTTAAAATAGATGATTACAAATTATGTATTCGAGATTATCTCAATAAATAATTATTAGTAAAATTTAAATTCAAAATTTCTTTATTAAAAAAATAAATTTTAATTAATTAAACGATTCACTTGTTAGTATATGTATATTTATTATTTAAGAGTAAGTAAACTATACAATTATGAGACAAAATGGATGGGACAAAATAGCAGAATTCATCTAGTGATTTTTTTTTAATTATTTTTAATTATTATAAGAATATATACATTCTATTTGTGTAGCATAGTGGGGACAGCAGCATTTCCCCTTCAAGAAAAAACCCAATAATTGGACGACAACTGTCAAGTTTGGCCTCTTTGAGGAATTTCAAACGTCTAAAACTCGCACATAGTCAACGTCTTTATCTGCCACTTGGCAGCATGTTATTGGTTTCGCAAAACCAAACATGGATAATTTTAATAAACCTCAAGAGTTGACTATTAACCTTGAAGCTGACGTGGCACGTGAACCAAGTTCCTTCTTTTTCGAAATGTGGCAGGAGTGATCCAAATCCCCAAAACTTAGGTGAAGGAATATTTAGTGGTAGTCCAAGGTCCCCCACTTGGTTTTGAATAATGAGGGTTTTGATTTAAGGTTTAAGTTTTATAGAACTTTAATTATTAAGTTTATTTAATTACTATTTCATGACTTTCTTGCTTTTGGATATGGTAACATGTTTGAGTCAAATTTTGCTTTTTCCATTAGATATGCCTTAAGTTTAAGATGGCATTAACTCAGCATTAAGCTAATTTTGATAATTCCATTAATAATTAGAATTTTTGAAGGTTGAACTCTATGATAAATTTATATATCTTTGATTTAAAAGTTAAGTTTGATTCTTCTTTTCAATCTTTATAAAATTTCACATTTCTTCGATTAAAAATATACTGTTTTTATCTCAAATTGATTGTTCAAATTTGATTTTCACATAATTTAAGAAAAAAATTTATTTTAATGTATTTTATATTAATATATTAATTTTTTATACAATTAATGTATTATAATTTTTAATGTTAAAAATAAAAAATAAAAGAATAATTTTAAAATATATAAAAAAAAAAGAGAATTAAATGTTAAAAAAAAACCGAAGATACAATTTTTGGACATTCAAAGATAAATAAACAAAAAAAAAAGGGATAGAGGGAATAATAGAAATATTTCCCTTCCATAATATTTTTTACACTTCTAGAATCACACCTTACCTTATTTTATCTCATAGTCATAACTCATCATATTGCAAATGTATGTTTTCAATTCTCAAAAGCAAATATAAGCGGTTATTTAATTCAATTCAATTCAACTAATTTATGTCTTGAGGTCATTATTCGATCTATCACTTCATGTCATCATATCATATAAAATAATATATTTGATTCGTATGTTACATGAAAATCACATGTTAAAATTTATATCGACATTAAAATATAAAATATAATTTTTTGATTTTATTAAATTTATTTATAATTTTTTAAAATATTTTTATCCGTGTTATTTTTATATTTTTTATTTATATTGTTTTCGTATCAAGTTAATATGTTATGTTTCAAATTACCAGCCTAACCATGACAATGTTTTTTTTTTTTTTTTAAAAGCATGATCTTCTCTTCGAACCTTCATGAAAAAAAAACATGGAGTAAAGTCAGCTGGGACGTGTCTGCACTCTGGAGGCAATATATTTGAGGGCTTGAAGAAATGAAACAAATAGAAAGTCTTTTTCTTCTCATCCATACACTTTTGCATATTAAAATGTATCTAATTGTCCAATTTTTTGTTCTTAATTTGACTAGATAATGATATATATGGACAAATCTTAATCTCTTTTCTTCAAAATAAAATAAATTAAGGTTGGAAGATACAGCAAGTTAATATCTATTGATCATAATTTTCACTCAACAAGTTAAGTTTTTATTAAAAGCGTTAATGAATCAGATCGAACTTAATTGATTTAAACATAGATGTGAACCTCATTCATCCACTTATTTTATATCTATTATTAAAATATTAAAAATATCTTCATATCAATCTTGTAATTTTTTTTATATACTATATATTAAAAATATTAATCATGTTAGTATGACTTTAGTAAATGGTTCGGCTCATGAATACTTCTTATTGTATTCGATCAAATTTATATAAAAGAACTTGATAAAATGCAAGAAAATGCATAATTTTGTAGATGTTATTATAGATGACTGAGGCTTAAAAGTTAGAATTAAAGGTTCAATCCTTGTATGGTGAAAATGTATAAATTGTTGTCTTTTTCATATATTTTGTTTGAATGTTTTGATATTATTAAGTAAAGGGAATAGTTTTGGTTTGGTATAATAATTGTTACTGTTAAGGATTAGGATTTTACGTAAGGTCCAAATAAATTTCTACCCTCCAACTTTACATTTTTTAAGAAAAAAACCTCAAAATTTTCAACTTTTTCATTAATCTAAGTGTTACATAACCAAATCATATTTGATAGTCAAATTTATTAATCTAATAGTTAAAAATTCGAGAAAAATGTCTTTATGGATCAAGAATTGAGAAGAACACCGAGTTCTATTAAAAAACTATACCTTAATTAAACTAAATCTGTTCCTATGTTATTGTCTCCATGTGTTTGTTAACAAGCATCATAAAAAATTCCATCTAGCAATTATTGCGTAATCAGGTCATTAATTTGATCATTAGTTTCAACAAATCGAATCAAGCCGCAATTTGCTCGAATTCAAGTGATTGAAGCTGTTCATTTGATGATTGTTATTAGGGGGAGGGAAGTTAGGACTTATATAAAAAAAAAAATGTGGGTTGGAGAAGGTATGAAAGAGATAGTGAGATTAAATTAGAAATAATGCAGCTGATGTGTTATATAAATGACCTAGTTGTGATTGGCCTAATTACAACCAATGGGCTTGGAATCCAGTACCTAACCATGATGCACTGAATTTTTTAGTCCCATTTTTTTTTCTATCAATTTGTCAGGTCTAGCAGCCATCTGCATTTTCTTCGTGACGATTGCACAGCGTATTAGAGGCTGAAAATTACACAAAACTTAGAAAATTTCCAAATTTTTTGATGACATTGGTGTTGAAGGGTGCCTTAATTACTTCAAATGCGCAGCAAACTACACTGGTTTCATGGTAGTCAACTGATAAGCTGGCAACAGAAAAGAATAGTTAGGACAAATATGACTAGTTTAACATTGTTGGTGTAGTTGGAAACAAATTGGATTGAGAAAGAAGCGTTTCAAAAGCGTAATGAAAAAATGTGATTAGGAATTTTAAATGTTTGATATTATTATGAAAAGTAATTAAAATGTGTAAAAGATATTTATAAAATAATAAAATATTATAAATAATATAGATATTTCAAATGTATTTTTTCACTGCAAAAGCGAAATTCTTTGGTTTGGATTAACAAATCGGGTTTTTAAAATAAAAAATCATTTTTTTTTATTTAGCATTAAGGTTAAATCAAAAGTAGCTTTGAACGCAAAAATTATTTTCAATCGCAATACTAAATTAGATCTTAATATGGTTAAATTCCGATGAAGATGGAAGCCATTACCTTGTCCTATACGGTCTTCAATGGATGTTTTGTTCAATTTAATCACTAGTTCCTAGTTCTACTTTCTGTCCAGAAAGGAACAAAATCTTATGTCCTTTAGGAAAACGTTACAATTCGAAGTCTGGTTCTGATCAAAACGTGCTTCTGTTTCGGCTATGAATTCATCAGCATATATCTTTTTTGCCACCTCAAAGCATGGAAGTATGGATTATGCCTTATCCGTTTTGAAACAATTTAAAACCTATATGAGTTTTTTTATGGAAATAATTAATGGCGGATTTGGCAACTGTACTTATCACCATGAAAATTCCAACGACAGACACTACAGAAGAATGCAAGAAAGAAGAGAGATGGGACAGGTTTTTTGAGGAACACTTACGTACACATGTTTGGCCTGTTTAAGGACAAGAAGACAGCATTCCAAGCGTCTAAACAAATACCACCAAGATATCATGTGTTTTGTCTCTATTTGAGAATATGAGTATTTATGGATCAGATTAGGTTTGATTTATCTATTTAATTTGTTTAATTTAAAATTATTAATAAAATACGATTGAAAATAATTATATTAATATCTTAAATATATTTAAAAATTAAATTTAAATAAAAATAATTATTTAATAATGAAATATTTTTATGGGGCAAACCGGCTCACGCTTGAAATTTTTGTTCAAAGGCCAGCCTGTGGACTGGTATGCTTGGGGAAAGATATTCAGGGTGATGAGGCCACAATGATTGTTCTGGGCATTCAGAGCGAGGGACATTACAATATGGCCTTGGGACTTTTTTGTATTACTTTCTTGGGAGTTTGTTTGCTTGTAGCCATGGAGGGATGGTAAATAAAAGACCAAGGGAGGAGATATCATGATATCATGAGCAGAAAGCAACAGATGAACCGACAATAAAGCACCGTAGAAGCATGGTAGAAGAAGAAGAGGCTTATCGCTTGACAATGAGTGTGCCAATTGAATGCAATGTGATTCTTTGAAGGAGAGCACTAGCTCTTAGAATGAGTATTGAAATAACATAAATGAATTTTAGTTTTGAAGCGTAAAAAATTTTTTCTAAAAGTAATTATGTGTTCAAGATATAATAGTCAACAAAGTCTCAAAATTATTTAAAAAAAATAATGAAAATAATTATATTAAAAGATCTATTTATAATAAATAAATAGATATAAATTTACATTTAAATGATTATAATCATCTATATAATCATAACTTATATGAAAAATCATCTATTAATATTCAAATAGTTATAACAATTTATATATAATAATTATTTTTATTCAAATATAATTATTTAGAATATAAATAAAATTAATACAATAATTTTATTTATTTATCAATAATTAAAATTTTCTATCCAATATAAAATATATTACATTTCAAACAACTGACACTAGTTGCCTGCCAAATAAATAAAAATATGACAATTGAACATGGGAGCACGTGAGAAGACGATTTGCTGTCATAGCCAGATCATAGCGGTGATGACACGCTATAGATCTAACAATTTGTATATCAATGACAAGTTTGTTTAACGTCAAACACATATAAAATATAAATTATTATATACATATTAAATATGAAACATATATTTTGATTTTTGCCAAATTTATATAATTTTTATTAAAATTTTAAATCATATTATTTTTATATTTTTTTTAATATCGTATAATCGTATTATGTCTAAGTATTATGTCTAAAATTGCTAAATCAGGTAATCAAGAGTAGACAAAAATGTTGAATAAGGAGATCAAATCGGAAGATCATGTACTAAAGTTAAAGGCGTTTTGAAAGCTTAATAAAAATCATCACACATTTAGAGAATACATGGCTATAAATAAAGCGTTTCCTTAGTTGCGTTTAAAACCTTTCAACCTGAATTCTTCTATAAGCAGGTGAGCAATCAAAGCTAAGAAACTTTTTTCTGTTTCTTGGCCTGCCACTCCTTGATTTCAGCTTTTATCTTGGCTTTCACGCGAGCATGAAAGCCTGGATATGGTTCATATCTGAAGAATGCTTGAAGAAACTGCACCAAATCAAAACTCAAATCACGAACTGTTCAGAACTTTGGAAATTTTCTTTTCATTTTTGTATAAAGGAACAAAAATACTACCCCCTACCTCAAGCAAAACAAAGAAAGGGGCCATTACAAAAGCTTGAACAAGATTGTCCAAAAGTGCTGGAGCACGTTTCTACAAAGAGTATTTCAATGAGTGGTGTTTAAAGAGTGATAGAAAAAACAATGAAAGCAAAAAGTTGAAAGCATTTCAACACCATTACTCACCTCAAACACTCCATGGCCTACAAACTGTCCGGTCCAACATAACAACTGAGCAACCAGCACAACCTGAATAGAGAGTATGGAGTTGCAATTCAAAACAAAAATCCATGTTTGGCAAAAGATCAATACACAACTGCATACACAAAAGGTTAAATATTGATAACAAGTAACTTTTATTTTCCACAATAGCTTATTGAGCAGCAGCGAAATCCATGTATGTTTGTTCAAATATTGATGTTCTAAAGAATCAACCTTAGGTATAAAAGACTTGCTAGATAGATGTCTTCCGTTCACAGGCATATTACACAAAATTGTCCGATGTAACTTTTCCACTAAAACAGCTTTCTTGCTTTGTGTACTCTCATTCCTGTGCAAATTATCACTAGGCATAAATTCAACAAAGCCTGCTTCATAGACTGAGGAAATATTCACCCTGCAACAGATATGAACCTAAAGAGCCCTTAATTGCCAGTATTTAGCATTAAGCCTACCACATTTAACTGTGTAAGTCAGAAAAACTTGTGCTTGATGAACCCGGAGTTTAGCTTAGTTAGTTCATGCAGCCACCCTTAAGAAATGTCATTCAGCAACTCTGTGATTCAAATCCCCATACCTACAACCCCTTTCCTATCCCTAGCCTCTTTTGTACCCAAAAACTTCTGCTTGAAATACAAAAAGAAGGAATTAACCTTGTTCATTTCACTTTTCTGGATATTGGCAGGACTTCTCCCTTAATTATTCATTCACCTACAACTTCAGATCTATGCACGAGATCTACACACTACACAGTAACTACAAATATGAAATATGCCAAGTGGTCGCTTAATGAAACAGAAAGCGGCAATCATAAATCTATTCTGAAACAATGGAGTTATTTTTAACATATCATCTTCAATTCTCCATCAAGAGAATGATTCCCTTATCTGATAAACATCATTTAAAACTATTACCTTGATAATGTCTGTACTGCACAAAATAAAGGGGCAGACTAGAACTAGGACTATCCATATTAGACAAGGATTTGTCAAAACAAGATCAAGAAACACATTAGATGGCAATCTAGAAAAGACCATCCCTATAATAAATGATTTCTCATATTCAAAATAAACAAATTGGTTAACCATCTAGTAAAACATGGATATGGACTAATGAAAAGTAAATAGTGGACATTGTTCAACATTGTTCTAGGTTGTTTCACAGATTCTGTTTCATCCAACAAGAACCACAACATGCAAAAAACTAAGAACCCACAATCCAACACCAACAATACTAAACAAAGAAGACAAAACCTATTCAGAAAAAAAAAAAAAGAAAAAAAATCCGCATAAATTGAACAATAAAAAAAGGAGGTTAATAGCATAATATCAGAAAAGCAATATTTTCTCTCTTTTTTTCCACAGTTTGCCAATACCACTTACCTTCCAAGCCAGAGAATATCCAAGATTTGCAGCAAGAAAACTAGCCCCAACCCAGCAAGCTAAACAAAGCAAAGCAGCCAAGGACCCAGCTTTCTTATCCAAAATCATATAAAACAATCCATAGACTAGAGCAAAAACAAACCCATAATTAAAAACCAAAATAGGATTAAACACAGAGGGCAAAATTCCAGCTTGAGTAAGATCATAGATAGTCGGAGTAAAGTAGATAAGAACGAGACCAGTGAAAAATATGGGCCACACAAATAAAGCATGTATCAAAACGTTCATGGGGTTACTGTGATATGCCCCATAGAATGCAAAATGATTCTCAAGATCGAACAATCCTGGCTTTCTCATCCCCAAAACTTTTTGTCTTTGTTTTTCTCAAGAAAATTGTGAACAATAACAAATTATAATGAAGAAAAAAGAAGTGAAGAAATTTCGGACTATAGCCCTTATTGTTTATATTAGGAAACTTCTTGTCTTTCTCAGAAGACTATAGCATTTTTTGGGCTAATTGGTAACTATAATTTTCTTTATATGTTGTAAGTAAGAAGTTTATATTTAATACAATATTGGTATATCAATGAATTAGATGGTGATATATCATCAATGATTAAATATAAATTTTTATTAATTTTAAACTCTTGTTATCCATGAAAATATATTTATAGATTATAACTTTTTTAAATTGATATTTAATAAATTAATAATATTTTATAATAATGTATGCTAGAGTGTGTAAAAGAAAAAAATATTTTTTTAATGTCCTAATTATAAGATACGAAAATATATTCATGACTAATTAGTCTGTTATTTAATTTTTATCAATGATCAAATTAATTGCAAATAAGATAAGAATATTGAATATTTAAAAGAGAATAAACAAAATTAATTTAATCTAATTAATTATTTTAACTAATAAAATATTTTAAATAAATAAAATACATTTATTAAAAATATATGGTAATTTTTTAAATAAGACCACATGTAAAAAAAAATGTAGGCTATCCATGGAGAATTTTTTTTGTATTAAAATTTTTACTTTTATATATTTTTTAAATTAAAATATGTACGATGCGCAAGTGATAATTTTAAATTATAATAAAATTTTTAAAATATAATAAAGCTGACAATATAAGTTGAAGGCATATATGTTGAACAATGTCTTTAAAATATTAATAATTATAAAATAAATAATTTTAATGCAAATGTTCTACAATCACTGCTATAAAATAATTAATTAAAGTTAAAAAATTGTAATAAATTCAACTATCAAATTATAATAATAAATCAATAATTCAAGCAAAATAAAAAGTAATATATATGTAATTCAACTACCAAATTTTCATATTAATACTTTTTATTAATTATTTTTATTAAAAAATTATGATTAGTGGAAAATGTGCAAAAATTAAAAAATAATTCCTATTATCCAAAAAAAAAAAAAGAAAAGAACAAAGCAAAATCAAAAGCCCCGTAGAACTTAACAAATTTCTAATACAATGAATTCAAAAAAAAAAAAATTTTTCTAATCAAATCGCTTTTATATCCATGGCAAGATACCTCAATTTATATCATTGTGATTGTCAATATTAATCATAGTAAACACAAATTTAGTATAAAAGTTTTTTTGGCCAGCTAGTATAAAAAGTTGATTATGACTTGTTTTAAAAATAACTTAAGGAAACAACAACACAATGTTATTTTACATACATATTATTAAAATAAATATATAAAAAATTTTAAATTTTTAAAAAACTTTTTCATTAATGATGTATCACTATCTGATTCACTAATATTTTATAAAATTTATATATTGATAGTGTATAAACTCTTAAGTAATTGTAACTTTTTTATTTTTTGACTTTTTTAATAAGAATATTAATAGAGTTTATATTTGATATACTATCAGTGCATTTAATTATACTACTTTATTAATGAATAAAAACAACCCTTAAAATAAACATATAAAAAATATTTTTTAAAATTTAATTTATTAATGATGTGATTTCATCTAATTTACTTTATTAATGAGATAACATCATCGATTTATTGACATTTTTAAAGTATATAAAATTTATACACTAACGATGCATCGAATATAAACCAAAATTAATATGCTTGCTATTAAATTCTTCTAGTGCCTTTGCACACAAAATTTTGAAAATTTTAAAGAAATTTGAAAATAAAATATTTTAAAATGAATCATTTCAAAATGCTAGCATTTGTAATTATTTTGTTTGGATAAATATTTTTTAGAAAGAAATTTAGTCTAATGGAATTTGATTAGATAAAAAAATATTATAAAAGAAGAATAACAATATTAAAGATAAATATATATAAATAAAATATGCAATATATGTATCATTAGATTTATAAAAATATATAGATATTATTAATAATATAAAAATATAAACTACATATTAGAGTTAAATAAAATGATATTTATTTTTTTAGTTTTGTATTTTATAGTAGGCCATATACAATAAAAAGGTGGAGGATTTGAAGAAATTTTAAAAAATCATCTACTTATGTGGAATTTCAAGAGTGAATTTGATCACCTCAAATTTCCTCTTAAAAATCCACCTAAATTGTAAATTTATTTTTTATTTTTACTCAAATAAATAAATTTATTTTTGGAATTTTAAAAACTTTGATTGAAATAAAACATCTTCTCCAAATACCCTATCTAAATACACATTAAGGTGTCTAATTTTTTATTTAAATAGTGGATTAGATTTGTTGATTTATATATCCATTTTGTATTTGCTTCGTATCAAATATACGTATAATATGAAAGTTATAATGTAATAATTTATGTCAATACGCCAAATACAAAATTTTTTAATTTTAAAATTTTTTTTTTTTATTTTTTATTAAAATTTTAAATCTTATTGTTTTAATGTATTTTTATATGATTTTCGTATAACATTATCATATCGTATTTAAAATTATCATTTTTAAATAAGTAATATCATTTTTTATATAGAAAAATTTATCAAATTTTGAGTTATAATAAAGTCACACAAAATATATAGCTATGACTCTATCTCGATCTATAAAGATCAAATTATGCAATTAGTCCCTACACATATATGAAATTTGAACTTTAGTCCTTACACAATAATTTGTAAAAACTAGATCTTCATACTAGTTTAATTTAATAATGGTGATCTAATTCATAACAATATTATTTTATCTCCATTAAATTAGCTGATGTAGTCATTGACCGTGTTGACATGTTATTTACTTCAATAACATGACATTGACTTGCTGACGTGGTAATTAGAATTGATGAAATCAATTGTTAAATTATACAAATAATTTTTATATTCATACGAAATTTGAAATCAAGTCTTTATATTTGCACGAAATTTGAAATTTAATCTTCTAATATAAAAAAATATTTTGAATTTTTTAGTTTTTTTAAATTTTAAATTTTAAAAATATTTTAGTTTCTTTAATATATTAGTTTTTATTATATATAATTAATTATTAATAATATCAAATTAATAATATTATTATCATTTATATTAATCAATTATAATATTAATAATTTCAATTAATATATCAAAGTTAATATTATTTTAATTAGTATAAATATATCATATAACAAAATTTATAATGAACTAAGCTATTGAATAGAGTTGTATTTGCATGTAATAAATCTGAAATAGACTATGAATGAAATGATCATTCCATCTAACCAAACAAAATAAAATATTCAAATCTAGATTCTTACAAAGGACAAGCTTTTATTTATTTGAAGGACATACTTTGAATTTTAACAAAACAAAAATAGGAAATAATTTATTTGATAAATCGAAACATCAGTATCGTGTATCATAATGAAAGATTTCAATTTTTTGAGTCTTAAAAAAAAGACTTATTTAAATAATTATGTTAAATTAAATAATAAGATTAATTTTAAAACCAATATACATTAAATTTAGTAAATTACTTTAATGTATTTAGAATATTGAACCTATATTTGATTATAAAAAATCATTTAAATAAGATTTAATTTAAAGGAATATAAACTTTGTTTTATGGATAATTTTACTCTTATGGGATGTAATTATAATTCTAATTTATTAGATAAATTAATAAAAAATAATATTTTTATTAAAATTAGATAGTGATTGATTTGTATCATATATTGACAAATTTATGTAGATTTTTAATAGATTGGTTTAAGATTTTTTTTTATATGGCCACAATATACTATAATTGTGATAGGAAAGTGTGACAAAATTTGTAATAGATTTATATTTTATGACAAAATGTAACAATAAATAGTGACAGAACTAGTAATAATATTTTATATGGGTGACAAAAAAATTGTAACAAATTTAGTGACAATATATGAAAATTGTGACTAAATATAGTGAGATTTTTCAATGTTATGTTAAAATATTATGAGGAAATATTATAGCAATTCTTAAATTTTAATGTCTTTAAAAACTAGAAAATTTCTAAAAATTCAAAATATTTTTTATAATAAAAAGACTAAATTTTAAATTTCACGTGAGTATAAGGATCATTTGCATAATTTAACAATTGATTCATTAATCTCAATTGTCAAGCCAACAAGTCGATGCCACATTAGCATAATTAACGGCCATGTTAGCTAATTTAACAGAGATCAAGTAACGTTGTTATCAATTGGATTAACATTGTTAAATTAAACTAGTATGAGGATCTAATTTTTGTAAATTATTGTATAAAGAATAAAGTTCAAATTTCATATAAATACATGGACTAATTGCATAATTTGACCATCTATAACTTTTTTTTTTTTCTTATGATTTAAACTCGACAATCTTCTCTTTCAAAAAAAAAAACAAAACCTTAACAAAATTTCCTTTTGTGAAAATAACATATTTTTTCATACCTTTTTGTGAAGAGAAAATAATTGAAATTTCTCCCTCATTTATATAGTTCAATTATATAAATGTTGTGGGGTTGAGCTTGTTTAACCCCTCACATTCGACCTAAATTTATTACATTTGACCTCCAATTAAAGCCTGTAATGAAAATTATATAAATTTAAAAATTATAATATTCAATAACTATTAAAAAAATAATTTGTAATTACTATGAAGTGAAGAACAATGAAACATAATGCTTACAGAGGATTAGGTTGGGAATTCAAGAAATTAATTGTTCATTGAATCTTATCTATAACTTACATTAAAAGCTATCCGCAATATATGTTGAAAGATAGCTAAGCAATGTAAAAAAAAAAAAATTACAAGTTAATTTTGGGAAAAAAATCTATAGCATGTTTCTTGTTTTTAGTTTATTTTGCTTTCATTTTTTTTTTTGCCTTTTTTTTCTTTTTTAAAAAAAAACCTCAAAACACAACAAAACTCTCTCAAATTTTTTTGCTTAGAAAGGTCAGTCATCATCGTCCCTCGTCATGTGACCATCGTTTTTTATCCTAAAAATATCTCCTAAAAAAAAGCAAAAAAAAGTCTCATTAGCCCATCTACTTACTATCAACTTTCCTTTTGCTTGAAACTACCCCACAAAACTC